CTGTGACCTCGGCCCTTTGTTTTTATAATATCAGCAAAACACATCAATTCTGAGCATGTGGGTGATGTGTGATGCTGGTTTGTCTTGTTTTGCTGTGTACACGTTGCTGTATATTGTCACACCACTCTGTCTGTTTTGAATAATGGCGGGACATGACGTCATAGGGGTGGTACTCTGTCTCTCTGGTGTATAGTTCACTATATAAGTCTATCTCTTATGTTGTATAAATGTCACCCTGATGACGGAACCCTGTATGGCCCCGAAACGCTGGCTTTGGCTGCCACAACTGTGAAAGGTCATAACGCTGTATGGAGTGCAGGTGATCTACTACAACACTAAATGCCCGCTATATGAGACCTGGCACACCAGCGGCACATCTGCACTTGTGTGAGATCTTGCACAACGCCACCGAAAACTTATGGGTTTTAACTGTCTGAAAGTGACACTAAACTCAGGAGTTACATTTTATAAATGTATTCAAGTCCCTTAAAGGAGAACTATGAGGTGAGTGCTTTTCACTCACCTCATAAAAAGATTTAAATAAAAAGGGTTTGGCTTTGTAGCATCTTCTAAAAACTGGAAAATCTTAATTAGTTTGGAATCTTTTCCTCTGTACCGATTTGTTAAATAAAAAATCACACACAGTTCTGCCTTTTAATATTTTGGGTTTTCTTGTCTTAGTTTCACCGTCATCTGCAACGTGGGTTCTGGTGAGAGAAGCGTCAAAGAAAGCCGGATCCAGTACAAAGAACTTGGGAGGAAAGAGTCCAGGGAAGAGATATGGCGTGAAGACTTTAGATGGTGAGTCAGTCATGTGATGTCTTATTGAACAGGAACAGAGCCAGCGTGGTGTACAAAAGATCAGTGTATGCGCAAATTGAATTGATCCAAATGAATTTTCAATTTGAATGAGCATAATATAATCATCAGGCTGCATGAAAACGGAATTTTTCTTTATAAAGCAGTCACATCCTGGGTAGAAAAGCACGTCCCTTGGCAGCACGCTTATGAGGACAACCCGTTCTCTGCATAGAAACAGCGGTCTCCCCTGACAGCTGCCTCCGCCTCTCCCCCCATGCATATAGTCAGAACTACAGCTCTACATTCAGCAGGGAGCACGCACTTTGCTGATTGCAGAGTTATAGGGTTGATTCGGGGGGAGGGGGGTACGCTGGTTCTTTGCAAATGCACTCGAGGGTGCCTAGAGCCACATTGCTTTATATCTGCAGCGTGAGATCCACGGCACTGCTCGTCTCAGGAGATGTGGCGATATCACTGCTGGACTGCTCACTGTTGCTGGAGGTTCTGACATGAGGAAGCAAAACCCTTTCTCTACTAAGATGGCCGCGTATACACACAGAACAAGGAATGGTAAATCGCTAATAAAAGATGAGCCACAGGGAAACCACAGGCAATACTGGTGACTGGTCCTTTCAGAAATGTATCTAAACATCGGGCTCTCCAGCTGTCAAAACAAATAGCAGAGAGGTGAGTCACTGCTACCTCTCTGCTATTTTCAGCTGTCAAATACAGGATCGCAAATTGCAGTCCTGTATTTGCATGTAACCGCTTCATTCTTTTACAAAAAGCTTAATTATTTAATTAATTAATGCCTCAATAGTGAGACATTCTTTAATGACTGGTAACTGCTGAGAATCAGCTGTTAGCAGCATTACAAAGCCTGATATAACTCCTCACGTATAGTGTACGTGGCCAGTCATATAGGCAGAAAGTGCCGGGACGTACACTGTACGTCTCCCATCACGAAGGGGTTAAAGTGACATTGTCATCACCAAAAAACCCCCAGAAAAGCAGATCCCTGCTAGAGAAGAGGAATACTTAACCCCCCCACCCACCAGCCCACATACCCTACCTTCACTCTGTCTAAGCACTGCAACCTCCGTCAGACTCTTCAGCATTCAACACTTCCAGGAGTGTCGGTTGCTCTTGCTTTCCCATCACACATTGTTCTTCCATCCTCCAATCTTTACATTACTACAGGTCACAGTGCTGACGTAGAAAGATGTTGCGGCACTTGAATGGGTCTCCGTAGAGAAGTATAATTCCTCTTCTCTTGCAGCGGTCTGCTCTAATGATTTTTTGGGAGGTTACATTGTCGCTTTAATTTATGTTTGGAGTCTCTTACTGCTACCTAGTGTGCATCATCTTTTTCAGACCTTTCCCGCTACATCCCATTGACCCTCATCTGCTCAAATTTCAGGTGACTTTGTCCATGCTGGAAATATTCTTGCTACGCAGAGGCTCATGCGATGGCACCCTGGGTCTCAGGTAAGCCGCAAAAATGTTTTATGGTTCCTTTAAAGACACTGTCACCTTGTCCACTCAATGCAAACTGGCAGGGTCTGTGCAAAGGGCTCCTCTGACCCACTAATACCTCACCGGCGCTCCCCCACTGCTCCTTCTGGCATTAAAATCCCCACTGGCAGATACTAGGGGGAGCAGTGAGGTCTTGGTCATGTGATGGTGCTCAGGCCTAGCAATTGGCTGCTAGTCACAAGTACTATCAAATTTGAGGCTTCCCATACTTGGAAAGAAAAAAAAAAGTAGCAATTGCCAGCTAAGGTAGCACACGAAGCTGCGGGGCTGCACTGGAGAGGTGCGGAGTGCTGCGAAGGCCCTTTGCACAGCCACTTTGCCCTGGGAAACAGCGGCTGTTAAAGGACATCATTCAATTACCAACAATGAAGAAAACCCCTGAACTCCAATTTGCATTAAAGATGATGAAATGAACATAACTATAGAATCATTTTAATTATATGTATAAAATGATCCATAGCGGCAGCCATATTTGCTCATTACACATGCAGGTTCTGCTTCCTCCTCGTTGGTACTGCAGAGGGATTTCCCCCTCTTTTAATGCAAGTCTAGGAGTCAGCTCAGACCTGTTTAAAAAGATAAGTGTATGTTCAAAATGCACTTGTCCTTTTTGCTCCCCTCCACCCAGTTGACCAAAAGTAGCCCACTTCCCCACCTTGCAAAGGACCAGGCCTCCGACACACCCAGAAGTATCAGATCGCAGCGGCACCTGAAGATTGAACAGGCTACCTGCTGGAAAGGTGAGTATTAATCTGCTGCTTTCATAGGTTACTGCAGGTAATTATTTTTAATATGCTGACTTTGTAAAATGACTTTGAGATAAACATTTCAATAATCTGTATGGACTTTGTAGCAATTTGTTTTATTCCTATAGGTGGGAATTGGGCGAAACAACACATTGTTTGCACTGGAGGATGGCATTGTACGTTACACCAAGGAAGTCTATGTACCGAGTCCTCGTAGCAGCGACAGCATGAATGTTATCGCCAAGCTCCCTATGGGCGCAGTTCTATATAAAACCTTCGTCAATGTCATTCCGCAGCCTAAAGAACATAGCTTTAAACTGGTGGACATGATATGAGTGGTAGTCCTAATGTACATAACCTTTATTTCATTAAACTGCTTTCTAATAAAGAATTCTGCCCGTTCTCTTACCTGTGAAAGTTTGTGCCGAGGAAAAAAAATTCTCTTTAAGGGAGTTGTCCGAGCATTTCCTCTTCTGTTATATAATCAGCATTGTAATAGGAATACATAGCAGAGATGTTACCGATAATACAATCAAAGCTTACTTGGAAAATCCCTTTTATATAGTGAGTGCTGCCTTCTGTCTGCCCATCACTTCCTGTATACCCAGTGTGCTTTCTGTCTCCTTCCCTGTGAGAGGTGGGGGAGATCATCCCCTGAGTGTTGCAGTGACAACTCTAAGATGTTTTTTGTCCTTATTTTGGAGTTTTTTTTATTACCTCGGTTCCTTTATATAGATGTTGAGTTGTAGTTCAGACGGGCCGACGCAGTAGATATTCACAGGGCTGAGTGAAATGGTGTCAGTTAGGGATGTCCCGATACCACTCTTTAACCAGTTGACATCCGCGGTGTTAAACCCCCTTCCCATCCAGGCCATTTTTCAGTATTCAGCGCTGCGGTACTTTAACTGACATTTATTCCGTCATGCAGCGCTGTACTGAAATGAATTTTATACCCTTTTTTGGGGACAGATAGAGCTTTCTTTTGGTGGTATTTATTCACCACTGGGGGTTTTATTTTTTTACTATATTAAGGAAAAATTACCGAAATTTAAAAAAAAAAACAGTTTCCCCTATATTAAATGATAAAACATTTATTATTACCCAATTTTTTGGTAAAATATAAAAGATGGGGTCACGTCGGGTAAAAAGACACTAAACATGTCAAGCCTTAAAATTGCGTGCGCGCGCGAAACCTCAAAAAACGATAATACCCAAAATTGGCCATAGGCGACGCTTTAAAAGCTGTTACCGCTCATCAGTTTAGTGTTATCAGTGATTGATGGCCCTAAAATGATTGCTCTCACTGCGACGTTCGCGGCGATATGTAACATGTGTAGCGCAATTGTAATTTTTGCGCGCTGGGGCACCGGACGCGTATTTACGTTTATAGGCGCGTAAACGTGGGGGTGGGGGAGTTAAACATTTTGGGGGGGTTTTTTCCCCTTTTTTTATATGTGGCTTTTATTTTATTTTATTTTTTTATGTGTTACTTTTCTTTTTTTTTATTTATATTTTTTTTTTGCACTTATTGTTATTGCTATTATATAGGGGGATAACAACCCCCTATATAATAGCAAAGGCACACTGACAGGTCCTCTTTATGGAGATATTAGGGGTCTCTAGGACCCCTAATATCACCTGTGGACCCCAAAAGAAGCTGATAAAGCAGAGATCTGCTTTATCAGCTTCTTCTCTCTCCAGATGACTGACAGGTGAATGCGGAAGTGATGTAATACACATCACTTCTGCATTCACAGCCCGGACGGGGATCAGCAAGGAGCTGATCTCCCGTCCTCCTCCTCCTGACGCCCTTGGAGCCGGTCCCAGGATCCAAGATGGGGCAGCGGATCCCGGGAATCAAGGTGAGGGGTCAGGGGGGGAAAAAAAAAAACCGGGGGCGGGGTGCCGCGAACGAGCACATATCAGCGGGCTATGGACCCGCTGATCGCCTATATGTGAAACACCTGGTACCGGGTGTTCGCATTGGACGGGTCTTTTCTGCCCGTGCGTGCGCGAGCAGAAAAAAATTGCCGTCTGGAGACGGCAACCAGCAGATGCTGCAGTGCCGTCCGTCCGTTTTTTTTACTACGGGCGGACGGCAAGAGGTTAAAGACCAAGTACTTTTGCTCGGTTACTTGCCGATACTCGCTCTTAAACGGGACATGTGACATTTCTAAAACACAGACTGATTTTAGGGCAGTTTCTCACCAGGGCTATATACAGATGTCACCAGAACTGAATACATGTCCCCAAAGCAGAACAATATTCTCAGAATACATGTCACCAAAGCAAAATATATCTCACCTGGACATCCGCAGTGGCTCTGCAGGCACTCCCACCTCATCAGCAATACTGGGACCGACCTCCTCCACTGGCAGACCATCTCCGCTGTTGAGCCCTGACCTCCATCCTTTCCGCTGCCGGACACCCCAGCTTTGAGCCCTGGGGCAGCTGCACCACCACTAGTTCTGCCCCTGTCTGTGCCTGCGTTCTAGCAAAGATTGTGACTAGTCACACATTCCAACGTAATCATGCCCACTTTTTCGGCGCTGGAATATGTGACTGGCAAAAGGTGAAGAATTCCAACGCTTTCTCAGCTGTTGCAGAGCAGATCGGCATCGCAGATGGTATGTGCAGGAGAACCGAACTCTCCTGGAACAGCCGATCGGTCCGGAAATGTCACTTCTATGCGACTTTGTGGAATGTGAGATCGCAGTTGGATAGAAGTGACATTTCGGGACCGATCAGCTGTTCCAGGAGAGTTCGGTTCTCCTGCACATACCATCTGCGATGCCGATCTGCCCTGGAACAGCAGAGAAAGGTTGGAATGTTTCACCTTGTGCCAGTTACATATTCCAATCGGCAAAAAAGTGGACGTGATTACGTTAATGTGTGACCAGTCACATTCCACCGCCGAAAAACTGGGCGGGAATAGGGTAAAATGTGTGACCACGGCACCGGTCACACATTCTAACACTCAAACTTTGATAGAACACCGGGAAGGAGGAGAAGGTAAAGAACCAGACAGGCACTGCCATAAACAGCCAGTTGCAGGCCGTCGAGGTCCCACTAGTGCGGGAACTCAGCAGCCGCTGTGATTTAAAAATTTAAAGGGCCGATATCTGCCTTAAAATCTGGGCATTTTCACAAGTATCGGTATTGGAACATCTCTAATGTCAGTGCATTGAGGAAGTTCATCCTATGGGCGTCTTCAATAAGTAAGTTTACAATCTTCTAGATCAGTGGTTCTCAACCTTTCTAGGGCCGGGACCCCTTGGTAACATCTGCCAAGTTGTGGTGACCCCCAACAGAGCGCTGGACTCGGGACTTAGAAATAAAAATAGAAGCACACTCGCAAGAATACAAGCCCTCCCCTGCTTGCCTCCATGCAGCCTTCTCAGACGGCCGCCTCCTGCAGAGCTCACATTGTATGGGAGGCAGGAGGAGGCGGTGGCTGAATAGAAAAGCCCTGCTGTACACACTCCGGCCACTAGATGTCGCTGCAGCGGCCAGGGAGTGTGTACAGCGGCACTTTTATATCCACAGCCTCTGCTGTCCTCCTGCTGACTGACACTGCTGCGCACGCTCTCCCCCTGCGCAGCAGAAATGGACGCGACGACCCCCTCAACAATGGATAATACGAAATCACCTGCACTACATACAGACCTTGAGTAAGAGGTGGGTGCTTGAAGTGACAACACGGATGGCGCCGTGTCAGATACATTCCATAATAGAAGTCACCAGAACTCGGTGTGCAAGAAGTAAAAGCACTTTTTATTCAATTGTCACATGCGTTAAACATGTGACTAGGTCGCCAAGAAGGGACCCTGCGTGGCCCCCGAAACGTTGGCTGTTTGACGCATGAGACGATTGAATAAAAAGTGCTTTACTTCTTGCACATATCATCGAGTGCTGGTGACTTCTATTAACCACGTTTGGGTCGCGACCAACAGGTTGAGAACGGCTGTTCTAGATGGATATGGCTATGAGGAGTGGAAATTCAATATAGAAATACAGATTTCATTTTAGTTTGTGACGACAGATATCCTTCAAGACGCACACATTTAGACCTCCAACAGCAAAAGGTGATTCAGTGGTTGTAACAACGTTTATTAAGACTTTTTCACTCCATAAAAATGACATTAATAAAGTGCTTTGCGTCACAAAGACTGATAACTGGCACGCTAGCCTGTGGCGCCAGCCCTTGCCTGTCTATACAGGTGGCCGCACCACCCAGGCAACCTTTGGTAATTGGTTTAAACCGCTAGATCAACCGTTCCGAAAACAAAAATGCAAAAACTTCATTAGTGGTGCTAGAAAAAGTACCGCTCGTTAACAGAAATTAACTTGACACAGAGTCCACAATGATAGAACCTTCTTACCAGTTAGTCATGTCATCCAATATGAAGCATCGCAGGCCCGATAGACGTGACGCCAAAACCACCTTCCAGGCAGCTCTGGCTGGAAGCCATTCACTAGTGGATTTGCTGTTCTCATAACCAATCTGATTGGCAGCTGATCATGCTTGCCTGCCTTCCAACCTGCGCTGCATGGTAGGTAGTCCTCGTCACATCTTTTTCTGCATGTGCAGTTGTCCTCTCTGCTCCACAGTACAAGTCCAAAAGTGAAAGTCATCCATCTGAGGAACCAGCCCCCTTCAGGAGTAGTAGTGTCCGCCCCATTTATTTATTTGGTCATTTCGGATCTGTTTCATAGCAGCAGATGCATCCCCAGCCAGAAAACTGTTTGGCACA